ACCTCAAATTTCTCGCATGGATGAAACACCAGGCTATCAAGCCACCTCCAGCTCCAACTATGCCCCCAGCCACAGCTGAAACACAGCCCCCTCCACCAAGTAATCCTAGTGAGCCTGTTGCTGGAGCTACGGGAGAACTCGTAGAGGCCGGGGAGGCCATCGCCACCTCCAACATACCCGTTCAGACAACATTTTCCCCGATCAACGCTGGATTTCTTGTGAGGCCACGAACCAGTGAGTGCATTTTATCTCATCATTGATTAAGCCTTGCCTTGTTTTTATATATTCAAATATTTAAGCCTTGTCAACCTTATATTTCACAACTCTAAACATACTTATAATCGTTCACCTGTTTGTTGCTTCTATATTCAGGTTCACTTCATCCGCGTGTTGAGGCGGGAGTACTGCTGGAGGCTCAGTTGGAAGATGTTACCACCACGCTACAAATCTCCCGCCAACGCGAGGAAGAACTTCAGAAGTTGGCGGACAGCAAGGACCTCGAACTGGAGCACCTTCGAAGCGTCGTTGCAAAGCAGCGCCAACGCATTGACTCACTCGAAAATTGGGCGTTGACGGTGTCTGCTCCATCGCAACTCTCAACCACAGTTGGCACCGTCATTCAAGGCCCCGCGCTCCAGTTTGACATCTCCAAGCTTGATGTCGTCGGTGGTGTCGTTAAAGTATCGACAAAACTCACGGATGAGCTTCAGATTTTGGTAAGCTTTCCGTTCGTAAACCTTTTGCTACGGCCTTATTGGTTTTACCTTTTTATCAATTCTTACGACCGTTGTTCTTTCCGTTGCAGAAATTTACGAGCGACTCAATCTACTGGCTGACAACCGTTGCCCCTGGCAGTTACATGTGTTTTTTTCCCGAGTGGCCAGAGCTGCAGCACATCGTCGCTATAAAGTATTTGGAGGATGGGGTAAGCAACGATGAGTTTTACTATGCTATTTCTAGAGATAGTAAGATGCGTGAGGCTGCTAAGGAGAAATTTTCAGAGCGACGATCTAACTGAATGGCCCGATAAGAGTGTATGCTTGGGGCCTTGGGGGATTTTACAACGAGACTGCTATACCCGCCCTTGTCACTGTTGGGATCCAAGTTGGATTCCTTAGAAGGCCTGTGCAGTGGGCTGAACGTTTTAAGCATGGTAAGTATTTTCCACTTTCTGTCTCTGTGTTTTGTCTTTTGGAATCTTCTTATATACCCATTTTTTCCCCTACATTATGCAGATCGTTACGGCTCCAATTGGCATTGCGGCGAAGGCGAGCGTCCATTTTCCAACCTTGGATGGATCATGGCAGTGTCCAAGGCCTTCGGTGGCGTGAAGGCGACTGCCTGGAACATCAAGCTCGTTGGAGTTGCGTTCGTGTGCTACGTGGTAAGCTTCATTGTTTTTTTTACATGATTGACATGCGTGTCTAACATTGTTTCCTTACCACTAAATTGCAGGTTGAATGGCCCATGGCCAACGCGAAGGGAACGAAGGTTCCTGCAATGTCCGGAAACGAGCTCCTCAACAATCAGAACATGTAGAGGAAGACCCAAGAAATCATTTCGTGGTTGAAGGAGTGGTACAGTCGTGACCCAAGTGTCTGGAATCCAAGCCACCCTGCTGGATTTTCAATGTGCAAGGTGGTAAAAATTGAGATTGAGGGGTTTGAAGGGCAGTTTTTCCCAGATGGTGTTCCGGCCTAATAGTTTTTTAGTTTTTGTCCTGTATGGGTACTGCAAGCTTATTATTCTAATTGAATTACTCCATGAAATAACGCGTTCTATTAGTACAACACGCAGATGACAATGTTTGCAGTAGTCAATTTAAATGTACTATTGAATTTACCGGATTGAATTTACTATTTACGTTTATCAATTTAATGCATGTACTGGCAAACATAAATCTGAAGTGTATATTATCAAAAGTATATCGTAATCGCATACAGTCACATTTTTAACAACCCCAAAATCAGTTGACATTTCATGGTGTATAGATCGTCGGTATGTTTAAGGGTTGGGTGTCGATGTAACAGAGCGCGCGAGTGGTAACAATTCAACCATTGATTGGAGGAACCAACCAACCCTGGCAAGATCGCACCATTCACGAGGGGACGAGAAACATTTGAAGTCCGCTCCGGGTGGCAGTTGACAGTTGCTCACCGACATTTTCAACCAGGCAAGACAATCCACCGTCAGTTCACACGAATGGCAATCGCCATTTACAGACTTCGATGAGTGCTGCCGTTTCCAGCCGTGAAGATCCAAACCCTCGATCGTCAATGATCAGCTCCAGCAATCGCGAGATCAAACCATTCACTGCCCTAATTCAGCAGTTCACGCCCTTACCCAGGACCCGAAATTTTCCGATGGAAGGGGACGATCAACGGAGGGTGCCACGCGCGGGGCAGCGGAGTGTAGACGCTGCTGCTATTCGCGTCGCGGTTCCTGGTCACGGGCGGAATTGAGGCAGGTGGTAACTGCGCGCCGGTGGCAGCGGCGCGGATGGCTGAGCAAGGCGAGTGGGGAGGGGACGAGGAAGCGATGAGGATGAATACTATTACTAGGAGCGGGAGCGCCGGACTAACAGACCTAGTAATAGGGACCATATTGCTTAGCGGCACTGTAGTTTCATTCTGTTACTAAGCCTAAGGGCCCCGCCGAAAATACCTTTCAAGTAAGATCTCGTGTCGCGCGGTACAAACATGCATAAAGCTGACACAGAAAGATGTTCTAACATTGAAGTCGGTCCCGAACCAACCAGGTTACGATCTGTAAACCCTTGGACGACGCCGTTCGACGGGATGTGGCGCGGTACTGGTATGTTCATACGGCGCGGCTCGGGAAAAACCCCGCCCACGCCTGGGGATGTACGGGGCGCGGAGCTACCGGGGGACGCGTGGGGCGAAGTCGGCCCTCCAGAATCCCACCAGTTTTGGACCTTGCGCGGCCCTGCGTGGCAGAGTGAAACGGGAAAATATCAAAAATGGGCCCCGTAGTAGCAGTAAAGTGACCAACTTCGGGCCTGGTGAGTCGCGCCCCTACCTCGTACGCCCGAAGCAACCAACACGCCTGTGCTGCTAGGCCGAGCCTGGCCTTCTCGCCAGGTCACCACCTACTGGCCTGGGGTTGACGGAATTCGCTAGCGACTCGTCAGCCCATTACACTGTGGGTAGAAAAAATAATTCAGATTAATTACCCAGAAAAACAATTGTTTAACCCAAAAAGAATAACATCGCAATGTACAAAAATAAATCCCATTCGGATGGCATATAATTGGGGAAGCATCAACCCTAAACACCGTGCGACAAGATGTTTAGGGCTGAGGCCCCTTCGAAGGCATGACACACGAGAGGAGAATTCGTCAAATTTTAAATGTCGAGTCAATTTTTTCGATGCGTCAAGGAAGAACTCGTCACCTTGTGTGGTCAGGTCTGACGGAGCACGTGAATGAGGCCCGAAATTGGTTGGCCACAGGTCCGGCCCAGGTTCGACGTTTTGCGACACACGAGGCCCCAAGTTGGCAACTTTTCTAGAGCTCTGGGGCCCCATTCTGATCATTTCCCGAGTGAAACCCACCAGATTCCCATCGAAAACTCCGCGAGCCACCAAAAACCGAAAGAACCCACGTGGTTCTTACGCGCCAAAGCATGCGCGACTCGGTGGAAAACGGACGCGATTGGTTGTTCAACATTGATAGGTGGAAAATTGCGCGCATGCAACTGCGCGTTCGCGAAAAAAAAGAGCGAGAGGATTGGTTGCGACTTCACGAAACATGTATCGACCTGTGTTCGCACAAAGATAGGTTTGGTAAGCGCGGTGCGAGAACAGGTTTGGAAACACTTGGCGCGATTAGACAGGCTCCATGCTGGCTGACACGTGCAGCACTTTGAACGACCTACACAGGTGTCGCTGTTCGGTCGAGACGCAAACGCGGAGACGTGGGAAGCACGTCTAAGCCGTGACCGGTCATTACACACAGCCTGTCCACATTTACGCTTTGCGCTCGCTAGTTGCATATCAAGCACCTCTCTCTCTTGTCCCATCAAATCCAGTGGACTTAGACGAAAAGCGAGTGTCGCGTGTCGCGGTTACAATATGGGCCGTGCTTGATGGACCGAGAACGCCTTGGTCGCGATGGTCATCACGAACCGATAATCCACGCGGGCGTGTGTTTCCACAGTCAGAGATAGACGTCCCATAGTCGGAATCGCGTAGAGACATCGCAACATGTTGACGCACACGTTACGTAGGAGTAGGGGTAATCTCGTACGATGCATGCATACCGTGAATCGCGTCGCGGCGCCAATTCTGCACGACTCCCATAATGCCACAGGCAACACAGCCGCGCCCCAAATCCACACTGCGGAACCAGCTAGTGCTGCTGTGCAAAACATGCCCGCGCTCAATCCCACATGGAGCACCCCATAGGTGCAGCCTGTAATTTTTGGGGCCCAAATGCCCGCGTTCCACCCGCAGCAACTGATGAACGGGATTCACCTCGCACCGCGGTCACAGATTCCTCTAGCATCAGCGTCGTTCGTGTTTCAGACCCAACAGGATGATCAGAACACGCATGGAGTATTCACGCCTCATCCCGGAACACAGACTCACGGACAACACACCGCGTCCGCGAACGGTCACACAAGCCAGCTTTTGGGATGCCTGTTCGTGGCTACGTGGGGCCGCAATACGCGAATTTCGGGTTTAGGTACGGGTACAGTGGCGTTCAACCAGACCCCGTGGTGCACGCACCCGCAACTGTCGCGACGCCTCCTGTCGCGCCAGCGACCCCATTTCCTAACGCGATTCCTCCTGAAATCTCGCCACCGGTCCCAGCCTCGCCAAACACCAGTGATCCATTAGTGGTCGGTGTGGACACACAAGCGCGAACAACGTGCCCATCATCGAACGCGGTTACAGATGGTTTAGGGCGTGCAGAGACTGGTGGAGCGGGGATGAATGGAAGCGCGCGTGCACATTCGCCTCCGATATGGAACGTGAACTCACTGTTGCCAGGGAACCCGGACGTCCACATCAGCACCCCCGCGCAACCAACTGCTGCGAACGCGACCGGTAGAGGTAGGCAACCCCAGGTGCACGCAGGGAACGCGGGTAGAGGGACTGTTGAGAGAGGGGATGCGGGGAGAGGGGCTGGTGCGAGCGGGAACGCGGGGAGAGGGTCCGGTGCGAGAGGGAACGCGGGAAGAGGGAACGCGGGGAGAGGGACCGGTGCGAGAGGAAACGGTGGGAGAGGGAACGCGGGGAGAGGGACCGGTGCGAGAGGAAACGGTGGGAGAGGGAATGCGGGGAGAGGGACCGGTGCGAGAGGGAACGCGGGGAGAGGGGCTGGTGGTAGTGCGTACGGGGGGAGACCGCATGGGGGAACAGGAAACGGCGGGAGAGGGAATGTAGGTAACGCGAATGGAGGTACCGCGAACCAGCCAGTTCATAGGCCGCGTATAAAGAGGCGGAGATTCGATCTAGTGCCGGACACCGCCCGCAACGGGACCGGGGAGGGGGGCGAGGGGGCGAGCGATGAGGATGACGACGACGATGATGATGACGATGATAGTGGCGACGGGTGGAATGACGATGACGAAAACTACCTAGCTAACTCGTTGTACGCGCTCGATGAGGAAGAGGCGGACGACAACGAACGGGTGCGGGGAACGCGAACGGACAACGAGGTCCCGATCGCGGATTGGAGCAGGCTTGGTGTGGACGACACCCCTGACGCGAAAAGAGAGATGTGCATGGGAATCCTCTACGGTCTCTCGGAGGCCACCCTGAAAAAGTACCGCGGTTGGGCCAACGAGTACAAGAGGTTCATGGCGCACGAGTTGCCGAAACTTGATGAGGGGAGGTTCGGGGAGGAGGCCGCGTTGAAGAACAAGAACCCCGACGAGATTGGGGCCGCGCTTGGACAGAACATGGGTGGGAGCTGGAAGAGGGCAAAGGGCGACGAGCAGTGGTTCCACGTCCCCGAGACCAATCCGTGGCGCCTACGCAAATACGTGACATTCCTCGCGAACAAGACGGTCACGTAGACGGACAGGATGGCGACACTCAAAAGGCCGGACAAGACCTTGAAGAAGAGACGCCAGTGCACCCCTGCAATGCTGATGGGCCGTCTCAAGGCGTTGAACCTCCTCATCAAGCTCGATGGGGCCATCTTCCGGAAACCAGTGTTGAACCTGCTGCGCGACTTTGCGGAGACTCTTATTTGGGTCTGCGTTCAATTCCGCGACCAGTACAAGCGTATCATAGCGTGAGTATGAGTAACGCGACACAATAATATGAGTTGTACCGCATGCGTGTCCATCACAACCGCGTCAACTAACAACTGTACTATCGTGATACTTGTTGCGCAGGGAACATATGGATCGCCATCGGGGCACGGCCACGGACACGTACACCCCGGACCAGTTCAAGCACATGATGCGGAAGACCAGCATGGTGTTATTGTCACAATAGGCTCAAATGTGCCTAAAACGAAAGATAGAGTGCACAGTCGGATTTCTGCACAGCGGCTTCAAACGTTCATAGCGATCTCTATACAGCTCCAAATGACATCATTCAAATTCGATCTGGAGCGTCGTAACGTCGTTTACACTAGGCAGTTTAGATCGCACGATTTGTCCAAGTATTGATGACACGGCGTCGGTTTGAACGAACGGCACTATGGCAGCCACTATAGTCTTAGAACACAAATTAGGAAGAGTTACGAGTTGGGAATGACTCCCAGCTCCTACAAACCCCAAGAGCCGAGGTACAGTGATGTGGAACAGTGCCACACTGTCCCCAACCACGAAGGGTCTCGAAACTACCCTTCACAAGGGCCTACACCAAGTGAAATGTTACACTACACAAAGTAATGTAACGATTCTCAATATCTTGAGGTGTACCATTTTCGCGGGCTTCGCAATGACTTGAATCTTGAAACCAAGACTATGATTCTTCACCATAAACTCATCCTTGAGTTCTTGATGGGTCTGCTGCACACACCAGCGACACGCCGAACGTTCCACACACGACAAAATAGAAACCGCGCGGCACACACAAACGACAAAATAGAAACCGCGCGAGACACACAAACGACGACGTAGACACGCGACTAGCGATAACTCGCTATTGACTCGACACACACACATTCGACATCACGACTCATCATTCACACACCATTATAAGCATGAAATATATATATTATCTCATGCCCTCATACCATTCCATGCACACACGCATGCACGCACACAGACAACAAGCCGAGTGCAAACCGTAGGGTTGCACCAACACATGGCCGCCATCTTGAGCAGCTTCACACTTGCCAAACACGCATACACGCAGGCCATGCACCGCAACCTCTGCATCAGGACGATGACCGTGCTCGGTCATCACACTCTAGCCCGCGGATGCACGATCAGAAACCTGCAGCTGCCAGACATGATGATGTGGAAACTCGGCGCAAAATCGGGTACTGATCCAGTGAGGGACGCGTTCATGTTTGTCTGCGCGTGCAGAACGGGCAAGATAAACAAGGACTTCTCGCTCAACTACATCTCTGCAGTGCGGCACATCGACTGGACGCTGTGCGCGGTCGGGGCTACGCTAATGTGGTTGCACTGTGTTTACGACTTGGTTCCCGTCCTCTACGAGGACATAGCCCCCTCTCTCGACTTCTCTGAACCCTCGACGTGGAACGACCAGTACCTATTCTTTCCCCTTCGCGCAGGTAACGAGAAGCAGATACCGCCCACGACTCATCACGAATGGGTGGTAAAGATCCTAGAAGACGCGGGAATCACATGCTCGCTGTCAAATTATCTAGTGCTCTGCTTGTGCTCAGTGTGTGTGGTGACGTTGTGATCCACCCTGAGCTTGCTTTGCTTTTCTTAACTGGTCTTGTGACCCCTTGCTCTTCCCCACTTTGCCTATGGGGGTGTGTCAAATTATCTATATGCTACATATGTGTAGGCTGTAGTGGGGTAGCTAATATGGGGTATAGCCCCTTTAGGGTTTCATACTTGTACCAAACTTTGACCTAGTTCATTCATTCCTGCTAGTTGATTTTGACATGGTATCAGAGCAGTAGGTCCGTAGGATTGATTTTTTTTAGGGCCCACCTACCGTTGCGGTTACTGAGCTGCCCCACGTCGTGCCTGCACTGCGCTGCCCGCGCGCGCCCTGCCTTGCCTGCGCTGCGCTGCCCGCGCGCACCTCTGCTTTGCCTGCGCGCGTTGCCCTAGTCCCGAGCGCGCCGCCTGCTCCTGCCCTGCGCGCCGCCCAGGCTACCCACGCGCAGCCCGCTGCTGCCCAGCGCGCCGCCTTAGGAGCCCGCGCGCGGCCCGCTGCTGCCCCGCGCGCCGCGTCCGCCGCCTCGCGCAGCTCGCTGCTGCCCTGCGCGCCACGTCCGCCGCCCGCGCAGCCCGCTGCTGCCCCGCGCGCCGCGTCTGCCACCTCGCGCAGCTTGCTGCTGCCCCGCGCGCCGCGTCTACCGCCCGCGCAGCCCGCTGCTTCCCCGCGCGCCGCGTTCGCCGCCTGCGCAGCCTGCTGCTGCCCCGCGCGCCGCGTTCGCCGCCCGCGCAGCCCGCTTCTGCCTCGCGCGCTGCCTCATCCGCCCGCGCGCCGCTTCAGCAGCCTACGCGCGCCTCGCCGCTGCCCTGCGCGCCGCCCTAGCCACGTGCGTGCCGCCCCAGCAGCTCGTGCGCCTCCACTGCAGCCATAGGTCGTCTTATGCTACCCTACCTGTACCTTCTCTTGTCTATGCTCTGCTTTGCCGCCTACGCGCTACTCTCACCCGCGCTGCACTCATGGCGACTCTCAATGTCCTAGCTTTGGATCCTGACGGTCGCCCGATAGAGTTTGCCACTTGGCTCGACGACCTGCAACTGTTCCTTCTGACTGATGCCAAAGACGGAGTTTCTCTGTTCGATTACGTGACTGGCACTTCCGTTGCTCCTGCTGACACTACTACCGCTCTTGACCGCTCATAGTGGCAGACTCGCGATGCTGCTGCGCGCCTCGCTATTCGCAACCATCTGCCGATCACTGAGCGCGCGCACTTTAGTCAGCACAAGACTGCTAAGGCACTGTATGAGGCTGTAGTTGCCCGCTACTCTTCCCCAGCCACTGCAGCCATAGGTCGTCTTATGCTACCCTACCTGTTCCCCGACCTGTCCTCGTTTACCACCGCTGAGGACCTCATCTCTCACCTCCGCGCTAGTGGCGCTCGCTTTCGTGCCGCCCTTTCAGACGAGTTCCTCGCCGAGAATCACCCCCCCGATGTACTTTACTCTCTACTTCCTCATCACCCGCCTCCCTGACACTCTTCGCTCAGTCAGGGACCACTTTCTCGCCCTAGACCCGACCACTCTCACTGTCGCCGACTTCGAGACGCACCTCCTAGCAGCCAAAAAGAACATTCTCGTTGTAGGTGCTGCTCGTGGCACTCCTCGCACTCCCCTCTTTGAGGGGTGCTCCCCCTCCCCCCTTGCCCCCTCCTACGCCTCTGCTGCTGCTGCTCTCGACTACCTTGGTGCTGAGGAGGTCGGGGCTGCTTCCGCTCCTAGTGGGAAGCGCCGCAGCGCCAGGGGCAACAGGGGTGGCAGGGGAGGTGGAGGTGGCGGTGGAGGGGGTGGTGGTGGAGGCGGCAGGGGTGGAGGAGGTGGTGGGGGTGGTCGTGGGGGTGGAGGTGGTGGTGGGGGTGGCGGGGGTACCGGGGGCAGTGGAGGTGGCAGCGGCAGGAGTGGGGGAGGAGGGAGCGGTGGTGGCAGCGGTGGTGGGGGCTGGGGTGGAGCCGGCCAGAAGGGGAGCTCCAATGGTGGCCAGGGACAGCAGCAGCAGCAGCAGCAGCATCAGCAGCAGCAGCAGCAGCAGCAGCAACAGCAGCGTCAGCGTCAGACCCCCACGTCTCAGCAGCTTCATGACTGGTACGCTCAGCGTGGGGCGTCTGGGGGTCCTGTTCGCTGCACCTACATCATTCGCACAGGTCCCCGCGCTGGTCGCCCTTGCACCGGCCTTCACACGGAGTACCGCTGCTTCTCTCGGCTCAGCGACGCTTGGCGTGCCAAGTTTCCTGAGGCTACTGAGTTCCCCCCTTGGGCAGACCTGCTTAGGCGTGATGTTCCTATCTTTGATCTTGACTATGATGCTATTCTTGCTGCCATGTATGCATTGACTGTTAGTGCTGAGGGTGACTGCTACTTGTGTGTACCGCCTGACCCAGGTATAGCCCCAGGTGTAGAGCCTGCAGCCCTAGGAGCTCGTCTTGGAGGTACTGGAGCTGCTGGGACTGGAGGTACTGCTGGACCTGGAGGTGCTGCTGTCGACTCTGAGGTTGGAGGCCCTGGAGCTGGAGGTGCAGGTTCTGGGGGTGCTGCTGTTGGAGACCCTGAGGCTGGAGACCCTGCGACTGGAGGTGCCGGTTCTGGTGGTGCTGGTAATGGAGGTGCTGTTGCTGGAGGGTCTGGAGCTATTAGAGGTGCTGGCGCTGGTGGCGCTGGCGCGAGAGGTTCTAGAGCTGCTGGAGGTTCTGGAGCTGTTGGAGGTGCTGGCGCTGGTGGTGCTGGCGCGGGAGGTTCTGGAGCTGCTGGAGGTGCTAGTACTGGAGGTACTGGCGCTAGAGGTTCTGGAGCTGCAGGAGGTGCTGGAGCTACTGGTGCTGGTGGCACTGCACAGCCGCGACTGTTCTTCGCTCCGCCGTCGCCTTCGTCTCTGCCACCGCCTGACTCCGTGCTTCGCCAGGTTCTTAGCCTCCCGTCTTCTACGGGTCTTCCGTTACAGCCTGGCTCATAGCTGCCTGCTCCTCCTCCTTACACTGAGCAGACAGGAGGTCTTACTGAGCGTCGTGAGCCTGCGTCTTGTCCTGTCTCGCCTGTTCGCACTGTCCGCACTGGTCGTACTGGTCGTCGTGTTCCTCGTGAGCGTCCACCGGCTGTCCCCGGCACACACCTCATGGCCCTGCGTCCTTCCTCTGCTCCGCAGCGTGTTCCCCTGCCATCCCCTCCTGCGTCTTCTCTGCCTGATGTTCCAGAGCCTGAGTCTGACCGCGCTCGTGCTGCTCACCCTACTGTCACGCGTCTGCTAGCCACTGTTGTCACTGACCCGTCGTTTGAGTCTGCTGCTGCGTCTACCTTAGTCGCTAAGCTTGTTGACTTTGCTGCTGCCTGTCGTCTAGACTACGCCGCTAGTCTTGTTGCTGAGTCTTAGTCTGTCTGTCCTCCGTCCGCCGGGGGTGAGTGTGCTCTTAGCACGGACGTCCTTGAGGATAGGCAGGAGGACCTTGAGTGTCTTACAGCCGCTGCGCCTCATCTCATGGCCATGCTGCTTGCCCCTGAGGGAGACCCGGATGCTCCAGACATCCCGACCCCGCGCTCTTACGCTAAGGCGATCGCGGGTGAGTACTCCTCTCAGTGGCAGACAGCCATGGACGCAGAGATGGCATCCTGGAAGCCCACAGGCACTTACGTTGACGAGGTTCCCCCTCCTGGGGCGAACATCGTCAGTGGCATGTGGATTTTCAGGGTGAAGCGGCTGCCGGGTTCTCCGCCTGTCTTCAAGGCTCGTTACGTTGCTCGAGGCTTCAGTCAGCGGGAGGGAGTTGACTTCTTCCAGACCTTCTCCCCCACCCCGAAGATGACCACTCTTCGGGTGCTGCTGCCTGTTGCCGCTCAACGTGACTACGAGCTTCACTCTCTTGACTTCAGCACAGCTTTCTTACAGGGCAGCCCGCACAAGGAGATCTGGCTGCGCCGCCCACCTGACTTCACTGGGTCGTTCCCTCCTGGTACCCAGTGGAGCCTCCGGCGGCCAGTCTACAGTCTCCGCCAGGCGCCGCGTGAGTGGCACGACACACTGAGGACGACACTTGCGGCTCTTGGGTTTGCTCCTTCCACTGCTGACCCGTCGCTGTTTCTGCGCACCGACACTTCGCAACCGCCGTTCTACATCCTCGTGTACGTCGACGACTTGGTCTTTGCCACTGTTGACACTGAGGCTCTCGCCCTGGTGAAGTCGGAGCTGCAGAAGAGACACACGTGCACAGACCTGGGTGAGCTGCGCAGTTACCTTGGCTTGTAGATTACCCGGGACAGAGCACGCCGCACCATCACACTGACTCAGTCACACATGGTGCAGCAGGTCCTTCAGCGCTTCGGCTTCACCTGGTCCTCGGCACAGGCCACTCCTCTGGCTACAGGTCACGCGCTCTTAGCTCCACCTTCGGACGAGTCCGTAGAGCCGAGTGGTCCTTACCCAGAGCTAGTGGGTTGCCTCATGTACCTGATGACCTGCACTCGTCCTGACCTTGCGTACCCTCTTGGCCTTCTGGCTCGCTACGTGGCTCCTGGTAGGCACCGAAAGGTGCACATGGATGCTGCTAAGAGGGTACTGTGCTACTTGTGCAGTACATCGGGCATGGGGCTCGTGCTTGGAGGACGGGGCGACGTTGTCCTCACTGGGCACTCGGACGCTTCTTGGGTTGACGACCAAGCTACGCAGCGGTCGTCACAGGGTTACACCTTCAGTCTTGGCTTTGGCTCTGCTTCTTGGCGGTCTATACGCTCGTCTTCTGTTCTCAGCTCCAGCTGTGAGGCTGAGATCTACGCCACAGCCATGGCTGCAAAGAAGTTACGCTGGCTCACCTACCTGCTGACTGACTTGGGAGAGCGGCCTCGTTCTCCTCCAGTTCTGTACGTAGACAACAAGGCCGCCATTGCCTTGTGTCAGGAGCACAGACTGGAGCACAGAACGAAGCACATCGCTCTGCGTTACTTCCTTGCTCGAGAGTTGCAGCTGCGTGGTCAGCTTCGTCTTGCTCACGTGGCCACTCGGGCCAACACTGCTGATATATTCACCAAGGCACTTCCACCTGGTGATCATCAGCGCTTTTGTACTTTGTTAGGCCTTGTGCCCACGTTTCCTCACTTGCTGTAGACTTTGCTTGTACAGTGATCTATAGATATATATATATATACCTGCATGCTTGCTCCTACTAGGTAGTGATCACTGTGTTGCTGTTGTTGCATATATACCTCTGCATGTGAACTGGCCTTGTGGCCCTCTGCTTGTGCTCAGTGTGTGTGGTGACGTTGTGATCCACCCTGAGCTTGCTTTGCTTTTCTTAACTGGTCTTGTGACCCCTTGCTCTTCCCCGCTTTGCCTATGGGGGTGTGTCAAATTATCTATGTGCTACATATGTGTAGGCTGTAGTGGGGTAGCTAATATGGGGTATAGCCCCTTTAGGGTTTCATACTTGTACCAAACTCTGACCTAGTTCATTCATTCCTGCTAGTTGATTTTGACATGATCCATGTGACCAATGCGGGTGGAGCGCAACACGCGTCCGTGGACGGAATGCCATCGGATCAGCTGGCGAGACTGGGGGGATGGCGCTTCATAGATGTGATGACTAAGCACTACCTCACCACGATCCCGAAGGAGGCCGTGCTGCTGAATTCGGGGTTCACAGGGGTTGACGGTGATTACTACCTGGGTCGCGCAAAGGTTCCGGTGAGCGAGGAGCTGATGAAGCTACTGAGGGAGCACATTTTTCCTTGGGCCGCGCCTGAGTAAGGACAGAAACAGGTACGTTTGGGCCGCGCACCATTCTGAAAGACGACCGCGAGCATGCCTCATAACCCTCTGCCACCGCGTTCCTTGTCGCGTTGTGTTTTTTTTTGCCAACAATGCATGGATTACAACCGGAAGATGGTCAGCGAGGACAAGGCGGAGAAGCAGGACACCGCGGGACTCAACATACTGCGACAGCTGGACGGCGAGGCTAGGATGGCGGTCGCGCAAGGCCTGGCCATGTATTACATTCACCAGCCGCGACACCTGTACGTGGTCGGGAACCCGCTATGCCAGAAGAAGGAATTCACGTCCTGGGATGCAGATGTCTCCTTGGCGAACCAACTGGCCATCGTACAGCGTAACACACCTACTCTGACTAGAGGCGCGGTGAGTACTGCGTGATCGCGTTAGTAATTCGGCTGTATGTCAATGCCCAACCATCACACGTTTGCTCGCGCTCTCTGTCCATGCAGGAGGTCAGCACTAGAATGGACGCGCAGCATCAGGTGACCACCCTCACGGAGTACCTGATCCGTTCACAAGCGGACAACTCCAGGCTGGGCCTAGAGTTGGTCGCGACTCAGAAACGGGTCACAGAGCTAGAGGGGGAGTTGGCCGATCGCGACCGAAAGCTTATCGCGAAGGACGAGCACGTGAATGATTTGGATGCACAGCTGTCGCGTCTCAGCTAAAAACGGCTCGGCGCCAACCGCGGATCCGAGTCCGGCAATCAATCCCAGAGCCGCGGCCACGCCCACCAATGCCACAACACCCACCGAATAGACTATACGAAAGAAACCCGCACCGCCAACCAGGGACGAGACGATTCGGGACGCGATCGTGCTCCCATGGGTCCAAGCGACCAAACTGTCGGACGGATGGAAGCTGTACAAGTCCATGCATCCGCTTATCCTGGAGAGTCCTGAATCGCTGCTGGTGAACCGCGGTGCAGGTTAGCGATTTGCCGAGCTCATCGGAAAGGAAGGAGGCGGCCAGAACGCGATAAATCATGTCAAGCGAGTCATGGACTTCATCGCGCACAGGGTGGAGCAAGGAGACGACATTGCGGTAGTGCTCGACAAGCTCGACCGTGTGTTGGGGTCTGTGGGCATGTCCGGACTGTCGGAAGGGACCGCATTGAAGAAGAAGAGTGTGGATTTGAACCTGAGCCAGCTCAAGAAGGGGTCCTCGGCGGAGGTGCAGTTGCGCGTGAAATGGATGCTTGTTCGCGACCATCTCATTGATGCCTCTCTTCCCGCGTCTGAGTTCACGGTCGCGTGGCCATAGTACTGTGCAATGATGCCTGACTTGCAATAAATGGTGGATTGGATCCTTTGATGTTCGCGTTGGGTGTACAGCCTATGGGTGCCATATTATGAGTACGTTGTGTCGTTCGCGTTAGTTGTTGTTTTGCATAACCGTTTACTTGATTCTTCCAAATGTTACAATTGCGTAAAATGATGATGATTTGGTATCATTTGTTTTACCACCGCGTTCGATATGTACATGATGATTGGCTCGCTAGTCCGATGGGAGATATGTAGTTAGGTGTATCGCGATTGAACAGCTCGCGGAAACAATGAGTAGAGTAAGTGAGTTTTGACCGCGACAGGAGAAGGTTGCTGACCGCGGAACGAGAGCTTCGATACAAAAGTAGTTGAAAGGAGAGCATTACGACAATAGCATCCGTGTTGTCAACGCGGATGAAGCATGGTTAAGGAAATGGACTAAACAGCATAGACAGAATATCCACCGCGAGTAAAAACTCAAGCAGGGTGGACATACTACCCACACTAACAAGGGTCTCATGCAACTACACGAACAAGAGTCTAGAGCACCACATGTTTCCCACCGCGAGTAAAACTCCAGCAGGTGGGACAAACTAACTACACATTCATGCGGACCTCTTCTTCGCGGACAGTCGCTTATCAGGAAGAGCGAGGTAGAGCTCGTTGACCTCCATCATCTTGGCCGCGACCTTGCAGTCGCTCTAGGTCATCAGCACGTCTACTGCCTCTTGCGCGACCATAGCAACCAGAGTGGGGTCCCCAAGGCGCGCTCCAAGGCGGTTCACGACCGCGGACTCGATAGCCTCCGCGACCTGCTTCGGCGTTACCTCGGTGGTGTGCGCGCGTGCATTCTCCTTCCTGGCCCTCTTGAAGACCGCGGTCACAATAGCGACGAAATCGCGGGCCTTCTCTTCAGGGGCGCCTGCAGACTGCGCCGCCACGTATCCAGCATTCACGATTCCGTCCAGATCAAGACCATTGCAGGTCTCCCACACCATCGCGATCGCGCACGCGACCGCACCGGCAAACAGACCCTCCTGTGCCCCGGCGACATCAGAATCTTCGTCTGCCGCCTCCCTCCCCACCACAGCTGCCCATGCGACCGCATTGCCGAGACTGGTTGTGGGGCGGGTGAGGTCGCGGTATGCCTTGAACATGTGACGGTACCTGCATAAGTGGGTTAATGCATGACATGGTTAGCCGCGTATTTGATCGCGTACAAAGCATGTTTAACAACAGATCATGATCATAAGCGTACCTGTCAACGTTGCCGCAAAGGTTTCGGAGATGCATGGTCGCGAAAAGCCCGGTGCTCATCTCATCGGCCGCGGAGATGTCCTCGGCCCAATTCCTTAACTGCTGCGCTGGCAGCTTGAGACCGTGGTCAACCCTCTTGTCGTAACACATCACTGCGATAGCGGTCAGGTACTGCACCTCTTGGAGTGAGTGATGACCCAGCCAGCGACGTATCCCCCCAAGCCACGGTTTGCCGACCATCCCCTCTCCACCCCTGGGCGGAGGGCGGATACCACAGCCCTTCCTCTTGCCGCTAGTTCCGCCGGTCTCGCAGTGCACACTGAACCTTTGCAGCACCAGCTCAACATCATCGTCCGCGTCCGAGTCGTCGTCGTCGTCATCCAGTTTGAGCGCGGCTGGAGGAGGCTTACAACCACCGCGACCCTGACTCTTCGCCTTGAGTGCCACATCTGCAGCGGGGGGGGTTGCAGGGGAGGTGGAGCTGGGTCCAGGCTGTCCAGTAGCGATCGCGGCGGGGGTACTTGCCGCGGGCACGAGCGCGGTGGTGGTGGTCGCGGTGGTGGTGTTTGCCAGCGGGGCTTCCTCGACCTTGGCCTTGCCCTTACCAGCTACCACTGCCGCGGGAGAAGAAGGTGGTCTCGCAGCAGCATCCCCCCTGGTGGTTCCCCTCTGGACCGTCCCTGAACGCAGATCGACGGTGCCCCCCTGGCTCTTCAAGATCTCCGCGACACTGGGAACCGCGGGACCTTTCTGCCTCTTTCCTCCCCTGCTGGTTTCAGCCTTCCCCGTCTCCTTCTCCGCGGCTCTCTTCCCTGTCTCCTTGTCCGCTACCCTCTTCCCTGTCTCCACTTCCGCGACCCCGTCCGACACCTTCTCCTCCAGCCCATCCGTCCCCTGGCGCAGACCGGAAAGCATGGCGATGACGCTGTTGAGAGCGTTGGTCATGCCGCTTGTTGTGATCGCGCGTTCAGGGGTGGCCACAATGTTGGACGACGCGCCGTCTATCTTTCGCGCGACCTCGTCCGTCAACTTCTTCTGTGCGGATTCCATGGAGTCCACGACAACTGCCTTCAGGTTAGCCGCGCCATCTTCCAAGCGAGCCGCAGTATGTTTCAGCACGTCCCGCAGGTCGCGATTCTCGGCCATGTCCTTCGCGGCCGCCTTGGCTTCCTTGAGTATCACCCATTCCGCGTTCTGCATATGAAGTAGCACCTTCTCCACAGTGCCCACGAGATCATCGTAACTCTGCGTGATCACCGTCGCTGCTTCCTGACCAGGCTTCGCGGACACGGCTTCCTCAAGCTTGGCGAGTCGGCGCTTCTGTGTCCGCACATGCTCGTCCAGGCGGAGAATTTCCGCGGCCAGCTTACCGGGATCAATCTTCACCAGCTCGTCGTATTTCCGTTTCCCCGCGACCGGGCTCTTGCCCGCACCCTCGCACGAAGGGGCCGCGCTTCTAGGACGAGGGGACAACGCAGCAGTGAGACGGCGAATACTCTTCCCTGCTCCAGCGACCGCGACCGCAGCCCCATGCCCAGCCCTGGTGTTCTCCGCGACCTCCTCCACCTCCTCCTCTTCCTCCTCGTCCTCTTCCTCCTCCACGTCGTCCGACCCCTCCAGCTCCAATTCACCGCCCTGGTTATCCATCGCGGCATCATCACGCTCCTCGGCAGACCCCTCATCCGCTGCGCGACCCTGACCATCGGCACCCTCCGACGCATTCACGTCACGTCCACCATGAGGCGCGGTCTCAGGGGCATCCTTGTTGCGGTCAGAGCTCGAGCCCTCGTTCTTGTTGTCCGGAGCCCCCTGATCCGCTGCGGCCTCCTCCACGACTGCGGCGTTCGCGAGCGAGTAAGCAGTTGTGATCGCGAGGGCTTCGGGAACAGAAACGTGCGATCCGGCGGCATGATCGTGCGACCTCCCGCATTCATTACCGTGTGCTTCCCCACCGTGACCGTCCGCAAAACCGCATCTAGACTTGAACGCGTGCTCCTCCGCGGCGCGTTTCGCATCCTGCCGCAATGTAGTCAACGTCCTTTGGATGGGCTTCGCGATGCGCGGCGTATGGTCGTGTACAACAACCGCGTCGAGTTCGTTGAGGATTCTGTCAAACGCGTAGCCACACGCGATTGGCCCGCAAGAGGTCTTCCAAGACGAGATATCCTGAAAGGAAGCCGCGGAAAGGGAGTGTATGGTTAAAGAAAATTTGTGCTGCCGTTTTAAATACCGCGACAAAACATACGCGAACAGGGCATTGGCTCACCAGGTCAACGAGATGAATCGAATCTCCTAGGTGCCCCGACTGGACACACTGGACGGAATCGCGCTCGAAAGCCTGGCAAACGCGACCCTGAAACCACCTGAATACATAGATGGATAGCATCGCAGTTAAAATAAGGACATATATATAAGAGCAACTAGACACAAAAAAAAAACCCTCCGGCGAAAAACAACTTACGCGACAATCTTGTCAATCGTGGAAAGTTGCTCAAGCGCAGCAGTGGGGTGACAGACGCGGACAAGACGCGTTTTCCAGCTTGCACTCGCGTCAAGCCCGAGGTGGTCCGGGCGCAAAAGCAGAAGCATGCACGCGTTTGAAGCCTTCATGTCACTCAACTCCCTGCCATTATCATATTACACACGGAAAACGGCGTGAGCCCATGAAGCCTGCATGAAGGATATAACCGACTAACCAGATGCATAACGCGACCAGATTGGAAACGCGACTAGCCCGCAGGTTAGCACTGTGTACTCACTCGGACCAGAGGCAGAACGCGACCAATCTGCTTTCAAGCATTCCGTCAAACGCCACGTGCGCGGCCTCTGCACCCGCGACGATGTCCGCGACAACATTGGATGGAACCACTTGGATCGACCCCTGCAGCGACTGAGACACGCACTTCCTGACAACCACGCTGTACGGGGGATTAAAGAACACATTGCCATACACTTAACGCGTATATGTTTCGTCGTCGCGAACGATAAAGGTAGGTTCACAGCATCTACTTAGAACGAGGAGTGCAGCTAAACAACGTATGAATCAAGCAACCAAGATACGCGAACGATTTACCAGGGTTTAGAACCACACAAAACAAAACGCGACAAAACACATAATAAAGTATTGAACAAGCCGTCCGTCCTAAATTGAAACAGGACATTCTCACCAGGTGAGGAAGTCAAAGCAGGTCGCGGTGAAGGGATGCGTATCATCGGCGAAGCACTTCCTCTGCTCGGGGGGGAGCTCCACAGTTGCGCGAGCAATCGAGATCGTCGCGGTGTAAGAAGCGCCCTGGTCTCCACTGTTCAACAGCGCCTTCAATTCGCGAGCCATGGCCGGCGCAGAATGCGTGCACTAACCAGCTGCGCGGACGGGCCGGGCCTACACTAGCACGAGAACAGCAAGGGTTCACACTACAAGTGCTAACGCGAATGCGAACCACACACACACTAGAGACAGAGCTTGTTCGCAGCGAGGACTAGGCGGAGAGGTCAAAGAGGGAAGACAAAAAAGGAGAACCAAAGCGTGAAGATGAAAATGAGCACGTAAAACCCTGGACGAGGGCCTAAAAGGGGACAAAACGCATCAAGGGGCAGGCAGCGACAGCAACAGGCGAGGGGCCGCACCGCGCGTGCTAGGGGGAGGGAGGGGGGGCCCGCGCGCCGCTTCGGACTTGCCAAGGGGGGGACGTTCCCCGACATGCAAGGAGTGGAACCTCGTCGCGCCAGGTAGCATTCCAGTCGCGAACTGCATGCAGGGGGCGATGGTCACCACATCGGGCGGGGTGTATTCCTCGTCGCGTCCGCCAAAAACCAGGGTAACGGACGATAACAACTTCCTGTTTCATGCCAGATTACTACACTCAATAATGTGCCCACACTAAACGCGGTCAAAGTTAAACGCGTTCATAAAATGGGTGGCCATTTAGTTAGCGCAATCATAACGAATAGGACATATTAATAAACAAAAAAAAGAACCACAACAAAATACCAAACATGTAGTTCGTTTTTTCCTACCAAACAATGAGATTGCCTATTTGTACGTGCAATCGCGTTTATGATTTACAATATCACAATATTTCATATTGATGTTTTATTATAACCATTCGCGTTTAACGACCATTCGGTACACTGCGGAAACTTTTTTTCCCGAGAGATGATGCACCCAATTTCCAATTTGCTGATACATTTTCGACGAGCTCAGGGGACCCTTCGCATGCGCGAAGGATATTTCGCGGGGGTCTTCCGAACCACACCACCAATCGGAAGCGATGCCGATTGGCCGGATTCGTTTCGGCGCACCCTGGCGACGCTTCGCACGCGCGGATAGGGTGGCGAAGTGTTTTGTAAGGGGCCTCCGAAGCACCCCGCAATCGGAGACGGCTCCCATTGGCCGGAATGTTTTCGGCGCGCACGGGGCTCGCTCCATTGGTGAGCGAGGGGTTTCGCGAGGGGTTTCGCGAGCCAGGGCTGGGACCGGGGGGGCCCAGAGTGTGGTCCCGGGCTGCGTGGCGCTGGCGTGGCCCCGGCTCGGCGCGGGACCACCCCGCCAGCTGACTCCGCCGCCCGTATCTCGCTAGGGACCTGCATGCGGGCGGGGCACTCCCGCTCGCGTGCAGCTCCCAGCTGGCCCAGCTGGGGGTCGCGACACACGGTGCATCCGCGTGCGGCCCTGGTGGGAACCCGAATTCACCAGGGGGGGACCTGGTGGAATTGGTTTCACCAGGGCCCGGATGGACTGGTATGTTGATACGGCGCGGCTCGGGAAAAACCCCGCCCACGCCTGGGGATGTACGGGGCGCGGAGCTACCGGGGGACGCGTGGGGCGAAGTCGGCCCTTCAGAATGCCACCAGTTTTGGACCTTGCGCGGCCCTGCGTGGCAGAGTGAAACCCACCAGATTCCCATCGAAAACTCAGCGAGCCACCAAAAACCGAAAGAACCCACGTGGTTCTTACGCGCCAAAGCATGCGCGACTCGGTGGAAAACGGACGCGATTGGTTGTTCAACATTGACAGGTGGAAAATTGCGCGCATGCAACTGCGCGTTCGCGAAAAAAAAAGAGCGAGAGGATTGGTTGCGACTTCACGAAACATGTATCGACCTGTGTTCGCACAAAGATAGGTTTGGTAAGCGCGGTGCGAGAACAGGTTTGGAAACACTTGGCGCGATTAGACAGGCTCCATGCTGGCTGACACGTGCAGCACTTTGAACGACCTACACAGGTGTCGCTGTTCGGTCGAGACACAAACGCGAAGATGTGCGAAGCACGTCTAAGCCGTGACCGGTCATTACACACAGCCTGTCCACATTTACGCTTTGCGCTCGCTAGTTGCATATCAAGCACCTCTCTCTCTTGTCCCATCAAATTCAGTGGACTTAGACGAAAAGCGAGTGTCGCGTGTCGCGGTTACAATATGGGCCGCGCTTGATGGACCGGGAACGCCCTGGTCGCGATGGTCATCACGAACCGATAATCCACGCGGGCGTGTGTTTCCACAGTCAGAGATCCCATAGTCGGAATCGCGTAGAGACATCGCAACATGTTGACACACACGTTACGTATGAGTAGGGGTAATCTCGTACGATGCATGCATACCGTGAATCGCGTCGCGGCGCCAATTCTGCACGACTCCCATAATGCCACAGGCAATACAGCCGCGCCCCAAATCCACACTGCGGAACCAGCTAGCGATGCTGTGCAAAACATGCCCGCGCTCAATCCCACATGGAGCACCCCATACGTGCAACCTGTAATTTTTGGGGCCCAAATGCCCGCGTTCCACCCGCAACAACTGATCAACGGGATTCACCTCACACTGCGGTCACAGATTCCTCTAGCATCAGCGTCGTTCGGTTTCAGACCCAACAGGATGATCAGAACACGCATGGAGTATTCACGCCTCATCCCGGAACACAGACTCACGGACAACATACCGCGTCCGAGAACGGTCACACAAGCCAGCTTTTGGGATGCCTGTTCGTGGCTACGTGGGGCCGCAATACGCGAATTTCGGGTTTAGGTACGGGTACATCGGCGTTCAACCAGACCCCGTGGTGCACGCACCCGCAACTGTCGCGACGCCTCCTGTCGCGCCCGCGACCCCATTTCCTAATGCGATTCCTCCTGAAATCTCTCCACCAATCCCAGGTTTCCCACTCCAAGGGATGATGGGCAGCTGCCACAGGTCCTTGATGCAGCTGTTCTTCTCCTCCAGATCCCACAACAACAGCTTCCCAAGCTTTGCACGGCAGCTGGTTGGGCCGAAGGCCACTTTGGCCTTTGCTCTTCTGCAGCCGGCGCACAGAAAAAAGGTTAGCGGACAAACCTTCAACCAACAGCACATTCCCCAGCCCCACAAGCCCCCCATTAGCTCCCATTACCTTGGCATTCCCCACACCAATCACAGGGAGCAAGGCACCTGAAGAGGCAGCCACAAATTTGATCTTCCCAGGGGGCTTTACCTCGTCAAGCAAATCTGCCCGTGGGGTCATGTGACTTGTGCATCCTGAATCGATCACCCAGTGAGTGAGGGAGTGCATCAGAACCTTCCCAACCGAACCCACATCATCCTCACTCTCTTTCACATCTTCAACCATGAGGAACATCCCGGGGTCAGCTTTACCTTGTGCACCTTCACCTTGTGCACCTGAACCTTGTACAGCGCCACCTCGTGCTCGTTCACCACTTGGCGGCTTCATGCCTGGAGGCGCCCATCCTTCAGGCTGACTGAAACACTTGAACCATGGGTGTCCAGCCTTCTTGCAGTACCAGCACGCACCCTCCATTCGGGTGCTCCCCCTGCCACCAGAGATCCCATGCCCCTCGTTGTAGTCACCTCGGCCTCTTCCTCTGCCAAAGCTTCTCCCACGGCCTCGGCCTCTCCCACCCCCTCTTCTGTTATAGTCTAGAGTCCACTTAGGGGTCGTAGATGCCCTTGAAACCACCTAAGCAGAATCTGATGACTTCGAACCGCCTCTGTTCAAAACGCCGTCACGATCAGCTCCGATAGCAAACGAGGCTGAAACTTGGACTGACGTTAGCTTCAGGTGTCTGCTTTCCAACGGTATATGGCTACGCAGTGAACAAAAACGTAAGCTCGGCTGAAAAACGAGTAGCTTCATTGATGCAAGGAAGAGGTTGAGTGCAACATTGCCTAGGGGACTCTTAAGGGGTTGGGACCATCCTGGGAACTCAGAGAAGGTTGAGTCCTAGGGGAGAAAGGCTAGAGAAGGATGGAAAACGTCCTAGCTAGGTCAGCAAAGCCAACCACACTTGGATGTTCAGAGCTGTACTCAAGGCTACCAATAGTGAGTCAAGCCAACCATGAGTCAGCTTGTCTTCCCACTTGCACCCTCTTGCAAGCTGCTTCTAGGAAGACCACACTTTTCAAAAGGAGGGTGGTAGAGTCCCACTTGACCACCTGTACTTCTTGTCTCATTCTCTGTCCCTGCACCATTGGCATGACAACAATGAAAGGGTGGCAAGGGAAATGCTGCCAACAGTGCACCATGACTACGGAACAGTAACTTTCGACAGCTGTGACGTGCTGCTCCGATGCTGGGTTGTCCTGAAACTCGGTGACCACCTGCAAAACATGGCAAAGGACTTTCACACCGATTTTCAGACCAATCAGAGCTCGGTAGATGAGTCAGCAGCCGAAATGGTGAACTCGGGTGTTACCAAAAAAGAGTAACACACACTTCCGGGATGCCATAAGTCTTGAAACTAAAAAATGTTGCCATGCCTTGTAAACTGCTTCAAAAATTCTGAAACTTTGAGAGTATGAAGAACACATATTGAAGCACCTCCCCACAAAATTCCAGAAGCTGAGAAGGCTTGTAGGCTGAATGGGAGTGCGATGACCGTGCCACTATAGTACTTTGGCACAACAAACTCCCCCTCATCGTGCTCTCATTCATCCCTTAGCTGCTCCCTGAAGCTGCCTCCCTTAGTTGAAGGACATGCCACACAAGGTGGCACAGCTCCAATGCTGATGCTCTGCAAGCCGCTTAGTCAAGAAATCTGCAGGTTGCTTGGTAGTGTTGATGTAGTGCAAGGAGATGGTGCCCTTCTTCACCTCCTTCCTCACCCAATGCCACTTGATATGCATGTGCTTGTTCAGCCCATGGAGCACAGCATTACGCGCCATTGCAATTGCTCCTTGGCTGTCACAAAACACAGGTGTAGGACCCTCTTGCTCCTGCCCCAACTCCTCAAGCAACCTCCTCATCCAAACCACCTCCTTCACTCCATGAAACAACGCCATGTACTCGCTCTCCGTTGATGAGTGAGCTATCTCTCCTTGCTTCTTAGACTTCCAACTCACTGGAC